TTTGTTTCATCTATGGAAACTTCTGGAGTTGGTGGCACAGCAAGAACAAAGGATTGAAATCATTGTATTGTATGGGCTGGAATAGCCCTGATGCCATATTTACACTGTGGCACCTCATCTGCATCAGGATCAATATGGTCCGCTTCCTCCTCAACTGGTGCCGGAGGTGGTGCCCTTCTACCTCCACGTCAGCTAGTAGATGCAGCCTCAGATAGGCCAGCGTTGATCTTTTGCTTGGGTGCCGAGACATTATACTTACACAACATGATATATTAGCTAAAAAGACACAAAATCATTTTAAGAGCAAGTGAAGTAAATACCCCACACTTATGTTATTATCATATTGACACTTAGCATGTATAACATGGATTCAGACTACCCTATTTTTCAATTAGAATGATATAATGCTTATCGGCCTACCCAATCATTAGAGAGAATTTCAACAATTAAAAATAAGATAAAAACCAAAAACTAGGCTAGAAAATATTAGACATAAACATAAAAAGAAATTAGTCTATTTTACAAAATTCAAAATTATTATACAAAATATAATACATAGGCACATTAGCATGAATCTTACATCTCATTTTTACATAAAGCAAGTGAAAAATCATGGTTTAGCCTAATGTTATAGTTGTTAACAATAATAACATTTCATAATGCAATTTGTTTCTTATTTTGCAACATTACTCACTTTCATGTCACTTAGACATTTAACAAACACACTGTAAGCATGTCATGTATTCTTAAAATTTCAACTTCAAATGAGGTATAATCACCATATCAACAACACAAATATGCCTCACATCACAATTATAAGATCACCACATCTTCACAATAATATTAAATACACAATTTTTCACTTTCTTACATGTATTTTCGGATTAGTATACCCCTCAACAATATTCAACAAGAAACTCAACCCATTTCACCTCAACACACCTTCAAATCCTCCATAACCACAAAGAGAATATACATTCTAAGTTTCTAATACTATTTATAACAATATTAACAAAAGAAACTAAAAAAAATTATGAACACAATTCTTGCTAGGGTTTATACAAATATACTTGAAAATAAGAAAGAAATACAAAATGAAATACTACTAGATTGAAGGAAAAGAGAGAAGAAAATACATACCTTGCAAAAAGAAGAAGGATTTGCAGATGGATTTTTGAGTGAAATTATATGGTTGGGGTTTTTGGGTTTAGTCTTAGAGAAGAAGAGAGTTTCGGAAGGGAAATAATGAAATAAGGGGAAGGGGTTTCGGATTTTTAAGGGATTTAAAATCTTGGTTGCTCCGAAAATTTTGCATTCTGCCTAGTCTGTGCAATTTTGCCTGGCGCATTGTGTGGCACGATGCCCCATGCGACGCGGTAAGCCAATTGTTCACAGAGTTAGCCTCTTTTTTGATTTTTAGCTCACAGTTTACCCCCTACATCATTGTACACTGATTTTATTCCAAATGCATACTTGCACCTGACTACAAACATTATAAAATTTAAAATCTAATATTTCTAAACTACAATTAGAAGTTAATGATGTTAGTCATTGGGTTACCTCCCAACAAGCACCTAATTTAACGTCGAGACACGACTCAACACTTTATCACGCATCCACCAAATCTACCGAGGTCTTGTGACGTTTAATATCACCACCCCAATAATGTTTTATTCACTTCCCATTCACCAAGAAAGTACCACTTGAATTTATGTCCCGCAATTCAACTGTTCCATGAGGAGTCACACTTACCACAACGAAAGGGCCTACCCAATAGGACTTAAGCTTTCCAGGAAAAATCTTTAACCTTGAATTAAACAAGAGAACTTCTTGACTCGGCTCAAACTCACGATGTTGGATGTGCTTGTCATGCCACCTCTTGGTCTTTTCTTTATACAACTTGGCATTTTCATAAGCATGCAAACGAAATTCATCAAGTTCATTGAGCTGTAGTAGTCTTTTTTCACTGGCTAAGTCCATATCCATATTTAGCTTTTTGATTGCCCAATAAGCTTTATGTTCTAGCTCAACGGACAAATGACATGCCTTTCCATAAACAAACATGTATGGAGAAGTACCTATTGGAGTCTTGTATGCAATTCGGTAAGCCCACAATGCATCTTCTAACTTACCGGACCAATCTTTCCTATTTGCACTCACTGTTTTCTCCAAAATCTATTTTACTTCTCTGTTTGACACTTCAACTTGACCACTCATTTGAGGGTGGTATGCAGTAGCAACCTTGTGTCTTACCCCATATTTTGCTAGAACATTTTTTAACAATTTGCTACAAAAGTGTGTTCCTCCATCACTTATCAACACCCTTGGAGTTCCAAAGCGTGTGAAAATGTGCTTTTTTACAAAACTTACCGCTACCTTTGCATCATTAGTAGGAAGAGCAATGGCCTCAACCCACTTAGACACATAATTGAATGCAACTAAAATGTATCTGTGCCCATTAGAATATGGAAATGGTCCCACGAAATCAATTCCCCAGACATCAAAGAGCTCTACTGCCAAAATATTTTGCAAAGGCATCTCGTTTCTCTTCGTGATTGTACCTGTTCTTTGGCACATATCACAATTTTTAACAAAAGCATGTGCATCTTTAAATAATTTTGGCCAGTAAAAACCTGATTGCAAAACTTTTGTGTAGTTCTGTCTCCATCATGATGACCTCCACAAAGAGAAGCATGACAATCATACAATATTGCATTCATCTCCTCCTCAAGGACACACCTTCTTACCAATTGATCTGTGCATTGCTTGTATAGAAAAGGCTCGTCCCACGTATAGAATCTCATGTCATGTAAGAATCTTCTTCTATGATCAGCTGTGAATTCTGGTAGAGTCACCCCACATGCAATAAAATTCACATAATTAGCATACCACGGGGTTTCATCCGAAGTGATAGCTAGCAAATGTTCATCAGGAAATATTTCTTTCATTGATTCTCCTTTAGTGACATGGCCTCGATTTTCCAACCTGGATAAGTATCTGCAACCTGATTCTCTATACCTTTTCGATCTCGAATCTCTAAATCAAATTCCTGCAAAATAAGAACCCATCAAATTAACCTTGGCTTGGCATCTTTCTTTGCAATTAAATACCTAATAGCTGAGTGATCTGTGTAAACTATGACTTTGGTTTCCACTAGATAGGACATGAACTTATCAAATGCCCACACTACTGTGAGCAACTCTTTTTCAGTAACAGTGTAATTCATTTGAGCTGGATTAAGAGTTCTGCTCGCATAATGAATGGAATAAAAGATTTTCTCCTTCCGCTGCCCCAAAACAGCTCCAATAGCTATATCACTTGCATCATACATCAACTCAAATAGAAGTTTCCAATCTGGAGCGATGATAATTGGTGTAGTAACTAATCTTCTTTTCAACTTATCAAATGCTTTCAGACAAGCATCATCAAACTTGAAGGATGTATCTTTCTCAAGAAGCCTGCACAAAGGAGATGAAATTTTTGAAAAATCTTTAATGAAACGACGATAAAAACCTGCATGGCCCAAGAAACTATAAATGCCTCTAACTAATGTCGGTGGAGGTAATTTTCAATTGCTTCCACCTTTGCTTTATCTACCTGCAATCCATTCTTGGACATTTTATGCCCTAGTACTATACCTTCTCGTACCATGAAATGACATTTTTCCCAATTCAGTACCAAATTTGTTTCTTCACACCTAGAAAGTACCTTATTAAGATTCATTAAATATTCATCAAAAGAACATCAAATACAGAAAAATCACCCATAAATACTTCCATAAATCTTTCAACTATATCAGTAAAAATAGCCATCATACACCTTTGAAAAGTCAAAGGTGCATTACAGAGACCAAATGACATTCTTTTAAATGCATATGTCCCATAGGGACATGTAAATGTGGTCTTCTCTTGGTCCTCTGGGGCTATAACAATCTGATTATATCCCGAGTAGCCATCCAAAGAATAGTAGTATTCTTGCCCAGCCAATCTATCAAGTATTTGATCAACAAAGGGGAGAGGAAAATGGTCTTTTCGGGTGACATTATTCAATTTTCTATGATCTATGCAAATCCTCCACCCAGTAACAGTTCGAATGGGAATCAGATCATTGTTTTCATTTATCACTACAGTCATTCCTCCTTTTTTTGGAACACATTGGACTGGACTTACCCATTTGCTATCATAGATTGGAAATACAACACTTACATCAAGCCATTTAATCACTTCTTTTCTTACCACCTTTTTCATGTTAGGATTTAGGCGGCGTTGTTGTTCTATGCTCGGCTTGTGTCCTTCCTCCATGAGAATTTTATGCATGCAAAAAGCTGGACTAATACCTCTTGTGTCAGACATTGTCCACTCAATTGCTCTTTTATGCTCACATAGTACTCTCAGCAATTTTTCTTCCTACAATTCAGACAAGTCAGAAGAAATAATAACAGGTAACGTATCAGAACTACCCAAATAAGCATAATGAAGGTGAGAAGGTAAAGGCTTTAGTTCCAAATTTGGAGCTTCTTCAATTGATGGCTTCGGAGGAGGACCATTTGGCATGTTCAAAGGTTCAAAGGTATTTAAACCTTTTATATATTCACATGATGCATTCAAAATATGCTTCATCTCTTCGACCTAATCATTAATCTCCAAACTCTCGAACAACACAATTGCTTTCTCTAAAGAATCCTTCAAATATACACTTGGGGCAATAAGTTGCTAATGGCAAGGAAGCTGAATTGCTTTGTATACATTAAAAACAGCTTCCTCATTGTCAACTCTCATGATCATTTTTCCTTCTCTTACTTTAATTATAGCATCACCTGTAGCCAAGAGATGTCTTCCCAATATAATAGGAACTTTTTCATCTATTTCAAAATCCAAGATAATGAAATCAGCCGGGAAAATAAATTTCCCAATTTTCAGCAGCACATCTTCAATCAACCATTCCGGGTAAGCTATGGGCCTGTCTGCTAGTTGCAACATCACAGTGGTGGATTTTGGAGCTCACAAACCCAATTTTTTGTACAAAGACAATGGCATAAAGTTTATGCTTGCTCCCAAATCACGAAGTGCCTGGCCTACATCAACATTACCTATTCTCATAGGGATAGTAAAGCTTCCACGATCCTTAAGCTTTTGAGGAAGCTTATTTTGGACCCTTGAAGTACACTCCTCAATAAGTGAAACTTTTTCAAATTCAGTCAATCTCCTCTTGTTAGCCACAATATCTTTTATGTACTTGGCATACTTTGTAATTTCATGAATCACATCTACCAATGGAATATTCAATTTAATCTGACTCAACATAGACAGAAATTTCTTGAACATGCGATCATCATTCTTTTTCTGCAGTCTTTGTGGAAAAAGTGGTGGTGGCCTTGGAACATTCACGGGCGCTGAAATTGTATCATCTTTCTTTGCTTCCTGTGTTGCTTTGGGAATCAATTCACCCTCAGGTATAAGCTTGTATTTTCTCTTCTTTGGAACTTCTTCTAATTCCCTTCCAGTTCTAAGTGTAATTGCACTGACTTGCGGATTTTTCACTGTATCACTTGGAAGAGCACCTGCAAGTCTTGTGTTTTGATTTGTAGCTACCTGTCCCATTTTCCTTTCCAGATTTCTTAAATTAGTTTTGAGCTGTTGATTGTCATGCAATAATTTCTTTAACAAATCATTTGTACTTTCTTCTACCTGCTGATGTGGCCTTTGAGGTTGATTAAAATTTCCTTGGGGTGTATATTGATTCTGATTTGATTGATTTCCACCCCAAGAGAAATTAGGGTGATTCCTCCAATTTGCATTATAAGTGTTCCCATATTGTGCTTGTTGGTTCATCGGACCTCTGCTTTATTGTCCCACATAATAAATAGATTCAGGATTTGTTGGACACATGTCATTCGTGTGATTGTCAGCACACATTTCACAACAAGCTCAAGTACCCCTGTTGCTTTCTGTTTCATTGCTCTCCTTGGTTCTCCCTCACCTTGCCAATTATGATCATTAGCAATGAAATTGTTTAGCAGAAGTTGTATTTCACTATATGGTCTCGCCATGCAACTACCTCCACAAGCTGAATCAAGATTCATCTTTGAAGTTTCATCTAATCCATCAACAAAAGTAGGGCCCAATACCTCATCAGTTTGACAATGATGTGGACAGTCTCAGAGTAGTTTCTTGTATCTTTCTCAAGATTGGCAAAGTGTCTCACCATCCCGTTGTTGAAACCTAAGAATCTGGCTCCCCAAAGACTTTGTCTTTTTAGTGGGGAAAAACTTGATTAATAATTTCTTTGCTAAGTCATCCCAAGTATGGATTGAATTAGTAGGCTCCTTTTGCAACCATTTTTTAGCTTCCCCCAACAATGAAAAAGGAAACAAGGTCAGTCTAGCATAGTCCTTGGAAACATTTGGATAGTTGTAAGTATCCCTGATTTCCAAAAATTCTAAATGTGCCTCTGCGGGTCTTCATGAGATAGACTTACATATTGTCCAGTGGACTGAATCAGCTGTACCATGTACTATTTAAGCTCAAAGTGACCAGTGATATCAGGCTTCACAATAGCCTGAGTCATATTAGCAAGATTTGGCCTTGCAGCTTCTATCATCGGATGCCCTCCATTACCTACCATCACTGTTGGATGTGGTTGAACTAAAATGTCCAACTCTCTTTCTGTTTTGTATCTAGCTTCCAACTTCTACCTCGATCTATGAAGTGTCCTTTCAATTTCAGGATCAAGAGGGAAGAGATTTCTTGTGCTTCTACTCCTCCGCATTCAAGAGAAGATCATGCGTGACACAAACAAAGTGAACTGAAAATTAATGCTTAAACCAATAGCTGATAAAAGCTTAACTCAGTCAAGTAGCTAATTTTTAAGTCACCGGCAGCGGCGCCAAAAACTTGTTGCGACCAAAACACTCACGCAAGTGTACGCGATCTTCAAGTAATATAGTAATAAGTAAAGTATTGTTCCCACGAGGACTTACGATCAACTTATCAACTGACGCAAACTCAAACAATTATCGATTCATGCTAATTCATCACAAAATACATAAATAACCAATTTATAATTTAACTAGTAGACAAACAATAATACAATGCAAAGTTACTATTACACCTATGAAGTTTTCTTTTAACAATTAATAAGAGAGATATTCCAGGGTTATGGGCTTGCTAGAGATCATGCTACGCTTTTAGCTTAAAAATGATTTATTGAACTATCTGGGTTATTGATTATAGGGTTGATAATATCCATAAGAATCTGTCGAATTCTTATGCAGATATTCAAGTTAAATTAATACCTATATTTCTATGGCATTAACATTAACTCAAATGCATTTACAATTCCTATTTTTCAACCAAGCAAGGCAATTAAGTATAGTTCTATCATAATTGCGAATCTTTCACCCGATGCCCAGGATCTAGATCTTGCTCTATTTGATTCTATATGCAATTAAGAATTTCCTTTTTCAGGTTTAACTCAAGATTCATAAATAGTATTCACTGTTAGCTACGTAGTAAAATAATTAACAGCAGAATCAAATAAACAACTCTTAACGATAAATTCAAGATCATCAACTTAAGCTTCAAACAACATAATCATCTAACACTCATAACCCCAGAATATTTGGGTTTTTAACCACTCATATTCATACAAACATCAACAGTATAAATCTTAAACATCAAATAAATAGATACTAGAAGAATGTTTAGAAAAACACTTTTAATCCTTGCTCCAAAATGTTGTTCCACTTGATTTTTGATGCTTCAAGATGAGTCTCCTCCTCTTTTTTCTCTCTAAAATCAGGTCTGCCCTCAATAATGGATTTTTTTACCCTTTTTAATTGTGTAGGAATGAGTTTCGACAATTATACCTTTTATAGACCAAAATAGACTAGTTATATGATTTTTACACGTCCGCGACACCTCGTGCGACACGTACATGGATTGGACAGAGGAAGAATACTTTTAACGGAGTAGAACAATGCAGCGCAAAATTTTGCACTGTCACGGCACCCACGCGACGTGGCAGTGCAATTTTGTACGTTGCTTTGTTTTTTCATTTGTTTTGCTATCCGAGCTTGCTTTGCGACCCTCGAAAACGATCCCAACTTGATTTATTTAGCTTTTACTCAGACTTCAAAGCCCCAAATTAATCAAATCCGTCCCAAATTTATTTCTTAAGTCGGTTTAGCTTCCTGCAAGGCATAAAGCATGAATTTAGTATAATTCAATATTATTTAAGCTCAAACCTTTGTAAAATGTAATAATTAAAGTGTTGTTACAACAACTAAAACACAAATTTTTAGTCTATGATCACAACTCATGAGATTAAAAACCACGACCTACACTCGTAAGATTTCAACTTCACTAACTGAACAACTTTAGATTACAATCTATTGTAACCGAGGAATTAAACTCTTAATCCCTCACCCACTTGAAAAAACTATATTGCAAGCCTCTTTGTAATAACTCTATTACAAAGCAACCAACCTTGACTAACTCTAGTCAAGAAACTAAACCAAACTGTGGTTTAAATTTGTCCTACAAAGATATTTCTTGAATGTAGTGTAGGATTACAAATGAAGAACAAATAACATAGACTCAACAAACCTAAGGACTTAAGATATCTTCTATCTTTTGATATGGTCCTTGAGGTTGAAGCAGCTTTGTTCTTGAGAGCGATGGTGGCTAGCACTTGAGAGAATATGATATTTGGATTTGCAAGTGTTAGAAAAATGAAATCTCTTGCCTCATGTTGATAATATGTGTGTGTAAGATCATCAAGGATGATGCAATAAAGTCTCCTTTAGTTTGGCTTTAGCAAGCTAAAAACTGTGTTGTTGTACTGTTATGACCCCAAATACCCGATCCTGATGGCGCCTATCACATTACTAGGCAAGCCAACCCAAACATTTATCACAAACCTCTTTCTTTTATAAAGCCATTTTTCTAACATAGGTTTTAATACCAATTTTACATAAGAAGTGTTTAAAACAACTGAAATATGCCGAAGTCAATAAAACGTAAGACAACACAGTCCAAACATCTAGTGTAACAAGTCTAGGGCCTCTAATACACAACAAACTATCTAATACATCAAGTCTAAAAAAGCGAAAAAGAACAAGATAGGAAGGAGAAAGGCAAGGTTGCGGACGCCATGCAGCTACCTTGCAATCTCCGACAAACTCTGATACTGCTGAGGACCCTCACTCTGCCCCTCGGGCACCTGGATTTACACACACGGTGCAGGGAGTAACGTGAGTATGCCAACTCAGTAAGTAACTAAAGTAAATAAGGTCCGAAAGCAGTGACGAGCAGTAAAAAAATCATATAAAGGAGTGAACAACAGTATACTAGATAAAATTCCATAGTTTATAACCAGCTTTGTCATAATAATTTTAGTTTCAATTGGGATACTTGAAATCATTTACTTAGCAATTTTCAACAGAGGCTTATTATAAGAGAAGAGTGAAATCAGTGAAAAACTATCATAAATGGGCCCCTCGGGCAAGGTATCACTCAGAGCATGGCTTTTTGGGCAGCCTCTCAGTCACTCGTGAGTCAGCTCTCGTCACTCAGTACAAAATCTCAGCACTCAGGCTCATTAATATCTCATAATAATAATCATAGTAACCGCTACGGCATGCAGCCCGATCCATAATTTATAGTCGACTACGCTCACTGGGGATGTACAGACTTCGGAGGGGCTCCTACAGCCCAAGCGTCATATCGCTGCGGCGCGCATCCCGATCCAATATATATATATATGCCGCGTGCAGCCCGATCCATATAAGTATCGATGCGGCGTACAACCGGATCCATAATTCATACATATTTAAATATCCTCATCATTAGGTTCTCAACCTCTCTCAGTCATTAATCTCACAGCCTCTCGGGCACAACAGTAGAAATTAGGGAACTCGGTCCAAATAGTCCTCACATTTAAGAAGTAGAGTGTAAAACCAATTTTAAACAATAAACAGGTAAAACAGGACTGAGGATATGGTTTCAAATTAGTAGAGTGAGGAAAAACAGTAAAAATGCCCCTAAGGGTCTCAACAGGTCGGCACAAGGCCCCAAACATGGCATACAACTCATAATATAGTATAAGTGACTAAAGTACGAAATATCATAAGGTTCTAAATCAAATACGCGGCTTAATAGTCACTACGGGACGGACCAAGTCATAATCCCTACTGGTACATACACACACGCTCGTCACCTAGCATGTGCGTCACTGCATTTATCAAAAAGAGTCAAATACCGGGGTTTTGTATCCCTCAGTTCCAGATTTACAATGGTTACTTGCCTCAAATCGGTGAAAATATTACTCCGCGATGCCTTTGCCTCTCGAATCGGCCTCCACTCATATCGAATATAACCAAATTCAGAATCACGATGTCAAAATATGCTAAGGGAACGAAGTCCAAATGAAAATAATTAATTTACAACTTAAATCCAGAAATTATCAAAACCCAACCCCCGGGCCCACGTCCCGGAATTCGATAAAAGTCACATCAATAGGTTCTTTATCTCTCCACGAGTTCATACATAACAAAAGTACCAAAATTCGACCACAATTGGTCCCTTAAATCCTCAAGACC